AGCATTGAATAGAGTAATATAAATGTCATACTGTTTTCTTAGTAGGAAAATAATATTGATATTAGTTGCACAGTATTTCCATCAAACTGCAGCCTTCTGGTGTACCTCTACCCACAATTAAGGATGAGCTCGAATTCAGAGCTAACCCGATCCAAACCTGAGCTCCTCTAAGCAAGGAAGTTGTACAGTATTTCAATCAAACTGCAGCCTTCTGGTGTACATCTACCCACAATTAAGGATGAGCTCAAATTCAGAGCTAACCCGATCCAAACCTGAGCTCCTCTATGCAAGGAAGTGCCATTGGCACTTCCACCCAATCAGCTGCAGGCCAGATAAGCCCCATGGCTGCATCTGAACAAAACATTTTTTACACTGGGCAGCTTGCTTAACATTCCAGACTGTGTCATACTGTGCAGCTTGCTGCACATTCTAGATACACCATTATCATTCTGTTTCACATAAATGTGGTGTTTTAGTAGACATATTTCATGCAAATTGGCATAGGTCAAGTAATGCATTGCTAAAGGTATGACTATGCACATATTCTGATAATTACCAGAGAACGCAGAAATATACAGAAAACAGAATTGCTCATTATATAGGTCTTGACTACACATCATTTTTTTTCTTCATGAATGCTTTCCTTTACTCACATAAGGTGAACATTTTCAAAATGCAAGCATCGAATGCCAGGTTCTGTCATCTTGGAGATATTACACTTTTGGTAAGTGTAATGTTAAACTTCATTTAACAGAATGGTCCTCATAGTAATCTACAGAGTTAATTTACTAAGGAAGTGGAGATTGTGTGCTTAACAATAAAGGAATGCTCACTTTGCAAAGGAATTTTCATGTGGCTTATTAAATAAGATGAAAATGTGTTCATTTAAACTCTCCAATCATTTTGTAACCAAAAGACAGAGTTTTAAAAATTTCCCATGCACATGAGTGGGTATTTAAAATTTAAAATAAATGCGCATTTACTGACCTCAGTCAACATTTAGGATGTCGATTAGTACAAACCGTATAAATGATTATCCAAACTTGTGTAAAGCTTTTATGGTTTATGCACTTCTGAAAATATATGTAACAGAAAAAAGGGTTACTTTCAGGATCCATAGCTACCGGAGTAAATTACTTGAGACATCCTTTAAATTCAGGTTTTGTTACTGCCAGGCGCATTGAGTCTAAAATGAAAAAATAAAGTGAAATAAAGGAAAATGCAGCAAATTGAAGCTGAACTTTTTTGCAGCTAATGTAAATACCTGAATTTGACAAATTAAGCCTTTATACTCCCTATGTACTGAAGTAGCACTCTGAGCAATTCAGGTGAGCTGCATGTAAATATGCTGACTAGTAGGGATGCACCGATACCAAGTACCGTACCCAGTACAAGTACAAGTACAGATATTTTTCAAGCTCCAAGATTAGACTACAGAAAAATTCAAAAGTTAGGAGGCAGCTGTCATTCGTAAGGAGCACACGGAGCTCCTTTGGGATTTGTACATCTCTGTTCCATTGTATGATTTTTTTTTATAAATATAAATAAAGGGGTGCACCGATACCATTTTTGCAAGTACAAGTACTGATACATTTTTGTTTATTGTCATGAGACAGTTTTTCTAGAATACAGACTAATGATTTCAGGACAGTGGTGGAGCGCCAGGGCCAGGTCGCAGCTGCAACCGCTGCAACCCTGGTAGTTCTCATGAAAATGTCGTGAAAGTATCGGCACTGGTATCTGAAAAGTATCGGTGCATCCCTACTGACAAGGAATAATTTAACAGGAAGAGAGAGTTCCTCAGTCTGGATGATCTAATCAGTGTGTTGCTGCTCCTTCACTGTCCAATCATCAGGCTCCAAGCAAGAAGGTTTCAGCAGTATATTTCTTAATTTTAACAGAAAAAGTATATCATTCTCATGGCAGTGTTAGTTGATAGAATTGTGCAAATGCATATAAATGCCAATCTTTTGGAAGGTAAAACAGCTCCAATATATGTATTTCATCTGGGTATTTATATGTTTGCTAAGATAATGCACATGTAATGGAACAATAATGAGGGGCCCAACTCTTGTCCTGAAATTGTAGAAATGTCACCAGCACACCAATCCTTTTAAGATAGCAGAAGTTTTTTGTCATATGACCAAACAAGCGCTTTCGGGACTGTACAGGGTCCCTTCATCAGGCTTTAGCAATTGCTGACATTCGCGGTCACTGCGAGCACCCCCCCACTACAAGGGACATATCGGTAAGGAGTGCAACAAGGATAGTACTTATCAACTCTTGTCCTGATCCCCTATTTTGCATCCAAAATATAGGTGGTATGCCTTTTTTACCACTGCCGTCATACTGCACTTTTGAGATGCAAATGTACCCTCGCCACAAATGTAGCAGAAGTTATCTGTGTTGTTTACACAGTTTCGAGGCATCTTGGCTTCTGAGGGAAAATATCACTCAACTGTTCCTTGGAAATGTTAGGCAATTACACTTTCACAAGTCACCAGATTAACTGTATGATGCATAGATCTGACCAAGACAAATGTACCTTGTAATAAAAGAACAATAAATTACAGTTAGGTAATCATCTTTAGTCTCAAAGTGAAGATAAATGTATACACTTCCATATGGTACCATTTTCACACAACAACCCTATATTCAATATATATACCAACAAAAGATTCAATGGGACTTTTAAGGTGTCTATTGGGGAATGTGGGGCAACATAGCTAAACCTATAAACACAATTTAGTGGGTATTCATTAGTATGAAATAATTGTTATTCCATGATCAATATATAGTTAAAAACATATCCATTTAATCTAGAGAATTGCAAAGATAGACAGATTTAAAACTAAAACCTCCCTGGACTTTGTGCAGATACATAATATACATAATCTCAATCCATAATTTCAGCCATACATTTCATAAGCAATATCTTTAAAAATTAAGTCATCTGTAACTGCACTATTGCTGCCCTCTACGTGTTTCCCCAAAGCTTCTTCAGAAATATGTTTATGAGGTAGCCATCTTTGAAATTTTTGGGAAAATATGAGTCCACACTTCTGGAACAACTCTAATAATAAACATATAAATAATTAATATTGCACATTTGTAAATGTCTACAATATCATATATAAACCAACTATATACATACATACCATTTTGAAATGTAGTTAATGGATGAGTCTGCACCCCTGGAGGACTCTAACCAACCAGAAAGGAGAGAGGGTGGAGAGAGCATGTTGGCGGCAGAACAAAGGAGACAGCACACCTATCCTGGAGTTCCTATAATAGTTACAGCATAATCCATATTGCTATCAAAACATCAGTGTTCTAAAAAACATATGTAGTAGTCCATATATATATATAATAGATCAGAGGAAAAACCTCAGAACATTCCATCCATATTTATAACCTCATCTGGGTTTTTAAACAAAAGATGTCAAATGTATCCAAAAGCATAAATCTCTTATGTCATTAACAACTCAAGTTGCCATATATATCTTAGTAGATACAAAAGATATCCAAAATATCTCTTAATATTAACTATATACCCAGTGAGACTACTGGGTATATAGTTAACGACATTACTCAAAACAACTTACAAATTGGTATGTGAACCACTCCTGGTATCCAAATGTCAAAAACTAAACTTAAATGTAGCAAAACACATTATACCTCATTCTAGGAAGGGATTCACTCCTCGTGCATCCAGCCGCCCCAGTCTGACCCTCTCTCCCCCATCTCACTAAACTCCCACCACACGTCACACGCCGCCCGACAATGTCGGCGTGTGACGTGTGTGGCCAGGGCGGGCCATAGGTCTGAACATGCACCCTAAATAGCGCATCTAGTGAGGAGGTTTCCTGTCTATGTGTTTGGGTATGAAAAATGTTTACAAAATGGTCCAGCAGTATGTGGTGAGAAATGGAGGTCAGGGCATAGCATTGAAAGGTTAAACTGTGTAATACCTATGCTGTATCTATTCCCCTATGTCTATGCTGCATACATGATTATCCTGCATCTTTTCTTCTTTGTTAAAGTATAAAGCTGTATACAACTTAACAGTGTTAGCAAAAAACATGCCAAATATATTTGAGGTTCAACTGGCATTGGCTCACAGATAGAAATGTCTAACCTTCAAATTGAATTTTGACATTCATTTTATGATTTTTATTACAGTTATACTCATATGAATTCTAAGCGGGATATTTATAAAACCATGAATCTGACATTTACCAAACATTCACTACAGGTTAATCTTCCAGGAGCATGTGTTTTACATGATTGATTGACCACCAATGAATGCTTGGTGAAATTTACATTCACTGCTTTGTAAAAACACATATAAGTGAAGTTCTGGGAATGTTAGTAAACACTAATTCAAAGTAAAAGAATAAATGAAAACCTGCCTTTGATACCTTCTCAGAGAATGAAAAGATCTGCAGCTCTAGTACAGCGGGAAAGGTTAACAAGTACTGCACCGGTTGCCTTCTCTTCTGCTTAGCGGTTTGTGTTTGAAGTGAACAGCTATTTGTTGCCTGTGATGTCAGGCTATTTCTAATCTGGGCTTTTATAAGCTGTTGTCTTTTTCTTTTCTTTTGCTGCCATGAAGATAAAAAGCATCTCTTAACTATTGTGTTCCTCACTTTTTCAGTTTTGTTTTTAAGCAGTGTCAGGTACATGTGGAGAGATCATGGAATCAAAGAAGTATGAAAATAAACGAAGACTTTATTTGGAAAGGTTGTGTGTGCATTGTGTGTGGGTATAGGATGCATGCAAACATAATGTAGGTCTTCAAAAGAATCTCTCTTGTGTGGCACAGCTCATACATTTATTTCTCAGGAAACCTGGAAGGTGACCAGCAGCAGCTTCAGAAACCAAATTGCAATAATTAATATAACAACATAAACAATGGTTCTTATGGAACAAACATTGATGCCATTATTTTGATCTTTATTAGGTTCTTCCTCGGCAAACATGTGGTTTATTCACTCATACAATATTCTATAAGGAGTATCCTGGAGGTCCAATTGAACTTGATAAAAACATTCAAGGAGGGGAGCTTTTCTTTACGCTCGTCCTCAACCCGGTAAGTACATCCAAAAACCTTAGTGTATTTTCAGTAGGCACAAATTTTTATTTTACTATTACAACTTTGCCTGAAAGTAAATTTTGACCTGATGTTCACAGTTTCTTGCTTGCTGTTCTACTGTATATTTTTGTTATTGTATTTCATATTTGTCAGTGCTTCCTCCTATGGTCACCCTAGTTCCACTTTTATCAAGATACAAGTACACTATATTGCCAAAAGTATTGGGACGCCTGCCTTTACACGCACATGAACTTTAATGGCATCCCAGTCTTAGTTAATAGGGTTAAATATTGAGTTGGCCCACCCTTTGCAGCTATAACAGCTTCAATTCTTCTGGGAAGGCTGTCCACACGGTTTAGGAGTGTGTCTACGGGAATGTTTGACCATTGTTCCAGAAGCATTTGTGAGGTCAGGTACTGATGTTGGATGAGAAGGCCTTTTTTGCAGTGTCCACTCTAATTCATCCCAAAGGTGTTCTATCAGGTTGAGGTCAGGACTCTGTGCAGGCCAGTCAAGTTCCTACACCCCAAACTCGCTCATCCATGTCTTTATGGACCTTGCTTTGTGCACAGGTACGCAGTCATGTTGGAACAGGAAGGGGACATCCCCAAACTGTTCCGACAGAGTTGGGAGCATGAAATTGTCCAAAATGTCCTGGTATGCTGATGCCTTAAGAGTTCCCTTCACTGGAACTAAGGGGCCAAGCCCAACCCTGTAAAACAACCTCACACCATAATCCCCCCTCCACCAAACTTTACACTTGGCACAATGCAGTCAGGCAAGTACCGTTCTCCTGGCAACTGCCAAACCCAGACACTTCCATCGGATTGCCAGACAGAGAAATGTGATTCGTTAATCCAGAGAACACGTCTCCACTTTTCTAGAGTCCAGTGGCAGCGCGCTTTACACCACTGCATCCGACGCTATGCATTGCACTTGGTGATGTAAGGCTTGGATGCAGCTGCTCGGCCATGGAAATTCTTTCCATGAAGCTCTCTACGCACTGTTGTTGTGCCAATCTGAAAGCCACACGTAGTTTGGAGGTCTGTAGCTATTGACTCTGCAGACAGTTGGCGACTTCTGCGCACTGTGCGCTTCAGCATGCGCTGACCCAGCTCTGTCATTTTACGTGGCCTACCACTTTGTTATAATACCACTAACAGTTGACCGTGGAATATTTAATAGCAAGGAAATTTCACAGAACACCTGAATCCAATGATTTGGAGGGGTGTCCCAATACTTTTGGCAATATAGTGTATCTATGAATAGCAGTTGACTAAATTTAAGCCCTGACAGCACTGAGGTTTTTTATGTTTGGACATAAGTGCTTAAGACAATAATGGCAGTAGTCACATCCAATTCCTGTGTGGCTTGAAATACCTGTTGCAGCCGCAAATTTTAACTGGTCCTTTTTACATCATAACAAACAAAAAAACGAACTCAACATTCTGCCTTAAAATCTTTGGAGCCAGAACCTTTCTGTTATGGAGTGCACACTCTTTGATGCACACTCTTTGGTGCTCTTTACCTGAATTAATTAGGGAGGCATAATCCGCGAATATAAAATCTCAAATGTTCTTCATCGTATATGAGTGGTGGCCTTTTTGTGATCTGTCTTTCCAGTGACTATGAAGTCGATTTACTGAAGGCAAATAGGGTGGTAAGCTTTGCAAGGGAATTTGAACTTGATCACCAATCATATAAAGATAACAAGACTGGAATTATGCCAGTGCCATGTAAAAATAATGTATTAAAGCATAGGAGCAGCACCTACAACATGACCTAGGGCACCCATAAAGTATTTTAGATGTTTAGGGCTTTTAGCAATGCAAAGTACAAGCAGGATGTTATCCATGAATTTCCCAACTTTGTCCTTATAATTTCCAGATTTGTTTCCTAATTGTGACCCTTTCAGAAACTAAGATCATATTGTGCTATCAGACTTAAAAGGGTGATTTGTTATTGGCTCTGCACTTAAGAATTAGCAATCTAATAGTTAAAGAGGAACAAACAGTGTAATGTCTTTGATTCATTTCATCATCCAGCAACTTCAGACAACTATTTAGTTACAGCATAGTAGCAGGTATTTGAAAAATAAAAAATGACATGTCTATAGGACACCTGTACACTACTCCTCTCTAAGGACTTCTCAGTGTCAGCATGACATCATGGTTCCTGTACTGGAAGCTCCAGGAGCTCTTTTCACTGCACTTTTACATAACATAAATCATGAAATGAACATTTAGACACAGCCACAGAGCTGGACAACATAACAATTCACTCATAACTAACATTGCTCTCTAGACGGGCCACCAGGGCAGTTTGTGGACAAATTTAGTTTGGAAAGAGGAGAATGGCTTTTTTATGTTGATAGGTTTATTTTTATAGTTCTGCTTTAAGAGTTCTTTATTGAATAAGGTCAGCTGTTCCTTGCTTTTATTGAATACGACAGAAAATGCATTCTTTCATCTTGGTTCAAATGATTTTTGCCATACAATAAGAAGGTTGTTGTATAATATACTGAAGAAAAGAAAAAGTTGAGGTGTCAACCATAGCTGCAAGTCAGATGCTTGAAGATGAATGTGGTTGCTACAGACATTTTATTCCATCATAAAAAGGGAAAAAAGTAAAGAATGGCAGTAAAATGCTATTTTCTTTCAGTTTTTTTTAAATTTGGCCCTTAAATCAGCTTTAATTGTTCTTTATAATCATGCATTCCAAAAACCTATCTTCAGGCCTCATCAACATGTTTTGTGGAATCCCTCTCAGAAACACAAGTGGATAAATTACTGACTAAACTAAATGAGCCTGATTTAGTAAACCATATGAGCATACACTATTCCATCGATGAACAGGCTAAACAACTAAATCATAGTTACATAAAAAAGTCTACCAAGTTCAACCAACTAAAAAATACACAAATCAATTGAAAACCTTCATATATAGAAATGTTTACCCACAGTTGATCAGTTGAGGAAGGTAAAAAAAACCCTTACAAAGCATAGTCAAGTTTGCGACAACAGGGAAAAAATACTTCCTGATTCCCTAAGGCAGTCAGATATTCCATGGATCAACAATCATTTGTGTTATTACTTATAAATATTAATAGCTAGTTATATTCTGGAAATTTAGAAATGCATCCAGCTTTTTATTTTAAACAACCAAATGAGCTGGCTAGAATAGGTTCCTGTGGAAGTCTATGTCACATTTTCACAGCTCTTACTGTGAAGCAGCATTTCTATATGCAGAGGTTAAACCTCTTCTCTAGAAGCACAGAGTGCCCCCTTGTCTTTTACAATGACCTTAAAGTTAACAATTTTTCACACTCTTTGGTGCTCAATACCTGGTTCAGCCAGAGAGGCATAATCCTGGAATGTAAAATCTCAATTGTTCTTTAGAGTATATGTGGTATTTTTGTGATCTGTTTCTTCATTGACTATGAGGTTAAGTAATAAACTTCCATTCTTAGCGTGGCTACCCTCACTGTACTGTATCTATGGAGGGGTAGTGTAGTCACTCTTGGACAGCAGCATTCTCAACTTGTGAATAGGGTATTGTTAAATGTACTTTACATAAGTGGCTTACAAATTGAACCGTTGTAAGCAACCCTCTATCTGCCAATTTTTGCTGGACAGCTTGGTCTATTAAAGAGAATTGCATAATAACAGAATTACTTTTTTATTTTACCAATAGTTCCACTTTAACCCAAGAAAGGTCTGCATACGACCGTCGCATCTCGTATGCATCTCGTATGCAGACTGTCGCCTCAGAGGAAGTCAATAGTGACGAAATGCATCAGGTGGGCGGATCTATGCGAGCATTACAATCATAGAGACAGGAGCTCCAGTGGACACAATCCATACGCAATTGCCTTATTTTAATTGTAAGTGCATTTTAATCGTTTTAAATAAATTTATTCTGACATACTACACTATGGGAAGCCTTTTTTTCTCTCTCTGAGCACAAGAGAAGGTGGAAGATGGAGGAATAGTTTTACACGATTTTGGAAAGATAAGCCATAGTTGCGAGGAATCTACCCCAATTTATTGTCGGATTAAAAACAAAGGAGAGGATTTGGTTCTATATAGATCAGCAAAGCGCTAATTGTTCATCTGAAATATGGTGAGGAATAGGAGTCGGTGAGTGCGGCCAGATCTTATCTTTAAGCACGGTGGAGACTGGAGAGCACTGATTCACTAATTGTTTTTGCATTCACGGACGTTGGTGTTGATGATAAAAGTTGGAAGGTATATCCTCACATACAAGGACTTTATTGTATCCAGAAGTAATGGACTTCACACATGGTTATGCAGATTAGGTGGGAGTTATACATCACTTGTGAGATTCAACACAGGATTTTCTATATGAAAAATTTTATGAGATGTACTAGCACGTTTTTTTTTTGTTTTTTTTACTATCATCAGCACAGGCATTGTGGAACACAGGTGTTGTGTATGACATCAAATTGTGTATTCTTTTGTGACAATTTCACATTTTATACTATTTTTTACACATTTTAGGAATATAATTTTTGAGTTTGAAGTGCAGTGCTATATGGTACTTGGTATCTGAACATCCCTACCTTTAGCTAAAAGCCAAACATATCAATACTGTAGCTCTTTTGCAAACAGTGGGAACTTTCAAACTATTGTAACTGGGTTCATTTCCATTCAGCACCAGTATTTAACTTGAATTTCAAGTGAAAAGACAGAGCATATTTGAGTAAAGAAAGCGGGTGAATATAGACTCTTGGGCAAAGGGATTCTCATTCAGAAGGTTGCTGTATGATTAGTTAACTAATTTATTTGATTCCAAGACAAGGGTTAAAAGGTTTGAAAAGTTTTCATAGGAGCGTGGTTTTGTAGTTTCTTCTTTGCGCGCTGTAGATGAAAGTATATTGTGTATGTTTCAGTTGAGCTTGCCACAAAAGTTGCATGCCTTTTCTTTATAAAAGTGAATGAATATGTAATTACATGGTAGCTATTTAAAGTTGCTAT